CGGAACATTTAAAATAACAGCTTATTTCATTAAATTGCATATCATCTCAGCGATTTTTGCCCCGCGGTGCATTGTGTGTTGCATACTGTGTCGACAACACCTTAGATACGTTAGGCGCAGTCTAGTTATAGCAAGTCTCTGGTACCACGCATGAAATAAATGCCCACATTCACAAAATTTTAACCAAATTTATTTCACCCCCTACCATTATTTTTAAAACATGTAGATACGTATTATTCAAAGAGGTTTAACAGAGACACTCATTCATGTTTTTCAAAGAAACGGTGACATAAATGATTATTATATTTTAGTTGAAAATACCTACAGTTGTACAACTTATACAGTATTATTCTGTATACATTTTTGCGGTGGAAATACGATAGCATTTTTTCTTTGGTTCGTTATTGAAGGAACACGATACGAATGTCTTTTATAAACGCATCTGATGATAAAAGCTTTGGGATTCCTTCAGCATTACACAATGTAACGTCTTTTCAAAATATCTTTCAATCTACAGCCTACAGCATCCATCCAAATTCATTTTCCCGGAAATAGTCCCCTCCAGATTGAATACTTTTGTTTCCATGGAAATTATCCGCCAAAAAAATGTTGACGATATCCAATCTTACTCGTATAAATTATTACAGGGGATCGCGTTTAAATTTAAAAAGCCATGGTCTACTTTACAAGAAGACTTAAGGGAATATTACCAGATATTACCTAGACAATCAATATTTTTTTGACAATATACATTGCAATAAAATAATAATTACCTTGTGTGATATGCGCATGAAATCTGTTGGATTCACGAAGCACAACTCAAACTTAATACTAGGGCCAGGTAGTAGACACAAGCTGTAACGGTAACTTACTTTGCAGTTTTAAACGATTTTAAATTTTTTCAAATTCCTAATTCACTTAGTATATGAAAATTTACATGTGCGAATAGGTCTGGCGATGGGCAACCGATAATAGGAACGTGAGAAAAGCGTGCGCTGTTGCCACGATTTCGTCGAATCCCGGCTTAGATGCGACGTTGCTTAGAATCGTCTGGAGACGGGAATCTAGGAATGAAATACGCTTCTTTTTTTTATGTTTATTTAGTTTTATTAGGAGAACCGAGAGGAGAACTTATTAAGGGGACCTCAAGACTATAACAGTAAAATTACCTCTGAATCATCCGCCATCTTCAGATTCGTACGAGCGAGAGTTCAATAGACTAGCTATGGTAGAATTCAAAAGTGAATATCCTCGCGAAGACCTGAAAATACCGTATTAATCTCTTTGTCACCTCGATTATCGGAATAGCGAACCGCCCTCTTCTTCTGAAAAATATTTATCAGTCCATCGTGACTCTCTAGGTGATTCTGAGGGAAAACGCCTGGATGTATTTTTTAACTCAGTAGAGTAATATACACCCCTACCCCACCCCTCGCTCGAGAACATTTTAAATACATTTAGGAGCCTAATTGTACACTTTTTTTTATTTAGGAGGGTATTTAAAATTAAATGATATTTGATCCATAGGCACTTGGAATAAAAGAAAATGTAAAAATCAAAATTTGGTTTTGCGCATGCGCAGTGCCAACCTTCACTTAATTTCCAACTACGAAATGTGGAATTTAACCAGAGGTATTAATTTGTATTAGTAGGCATTAGTAGGTATTTGTGGGTATTAATATAGGTATTACGTGCTATAGTGGGTACGTAGTAGGTATTAGTTCAGCAAAATCGGGTATTACACGTATTTAGAGGTATTAGTGTACTAAATTTTGAGGCGCGGTTAACCCCTCGGCAACTACTTTGCCACCAATTTTAGCATAGACACGCGTGATTTCTTACATTTCAAAAGACTGCAACTTGGCCTCGAGCTGACAAAAGGCTTGTTTTAAACGAACCGCAACTCGGCCTCGAACTTGACAAAAGGGCTCGAACAAAATTTCTTTATACAATTAACAACACATGGCTAGTGGGTTTGGAGTAAATCACATCAACTTTTTGATTTGTTATGGTTCAAAACCGGCAATGCCAAATACTTAGCACTGGAACTTGGAAATTAATCTTGAATTTTCACCTTGAAATTTAAATGTATATGCCATTTTTTTCACTGTTTGTAGGACCATCACGTTATAGTCAGCTGACTTTTTTTCTTCAAGATATTGGGTTAGCTGTAATTTGATAAAATTTCAATAGGGGGGAACTGACTAAAATATTTTTTTTCCAATGTGCGTGGGAGGCCACAGTGGCTTTACCCACCCGCCGAACCGCAGCTGACTTACACCGAGCTTCATGATACAACTATCTGAAACATGCGAGGACCTTGGTCACGAAAATTTGTTGCTGGCTCGTCCAGGGCTCGTCTAATATACGTAAGTGCACCTGAAATGTACGGCTGTAAATCCAGCGCTGTACGTACTATGTATTTGCCATGTAGATACGTACTTGCAGAGCGGTATTTTTTTCCGGCCCCGGTATTAACATTATTAGGAGGAAAATACGCTCTCGTCATTTATGTTTTCATAATGACTTTGTTTCAGTTAGTAGTTAGTACACATAAATAGTCCGTTACACACACCACCTTTTGGGAAGTACTAATTCATTCATTGAAAATGTGCTAAAGTTACTCGCCTTAAGGCCAAAACCTTTATTAACGAGTTCCTAGCGAGTTTATGATTTTGTGGTGACTATCTGTCTGTCCGTCCGTCCGCCCGCCTGTCCGTCCGTTAGTACGATATCTCATAAACGAATGAACCGATTACAATGAAATTTTGCAGGTGAGTTCTTTATCAAATTTGTAGATCGGAGTTCGTGAATTGGCAATGTAGACCAAAAAATAAAGTAGGCCGTTTTGACATGCTAGAGATCGTTTATAATGTTGTATTGCTGTCTGTCGCCTGTCGTTGGTCTGTCCGTCTGTTGCTTTGTCTGTCTGTCCATCTATCTGTCCGTGTGAACGAGAAATGTGTTTAGAAATGTCCGGTAGCTTTGGCATCTCCGTTAGTTATGAACCGAATTGAATGAAATTCAATATGCACATAGCGTTAGCCATATAAAACACAATCCCAAAAGTTGAGCCTAATCAATCAGCATTCACAGTTCCCTTTGCGCATCTCGACCATTTACAAACCGTTACTTTGGTTGCATAAAATTAGGCGTCTTTCAGGAGACTTTTATCATGTAAAAGTAGACAGGAAATTCCTATAGGAAATCCTTATTATCCTTAAAATGCTTATTGCAAAAAAAACGCGCAAGTAAAAATATAATCGCGTCGTGTTCAAGGATTCTATGAGTTCATGTGAGTGTGTGAGAGTTCAGTCCCGCGAGAGCACTGGAGAGCACTGTGTATAGAATGTGTCAGTAAAAGGAGGAATACACATTCGCCTTCCATATGTGAACGAAAAGGAGAATGTGTATTAGCGCGCGGCTGAAGGTCTTACGCACATATCACTTAAAGGTCAATTTCATAGGTATAATAATTTACGGACTGGTTATGGAAAGGATATGGTATGGAAACGTTATGTATAGTGAGAATCAGCCTTTATGGTTATAGATATATGTACTTGTATTTCCGCACTGGCTGACTGTATAGTATTTGCAGACATTTGCTTCCTGTTCTGTTTATCTACTCTTGCCTAGTCAATTCTTACAGGATAGTTGCACTACCTAGTATCACTAAACTTCTCGCCAGGAAAGATTGCCGGTCACAGAACACTTGATCCCGGTCTACAATCTATGTTTTTCTAAAGATGTGACCGACTTCCGGGATAGTATAGCATGTCAATGTTGAAAAAAAAAGACTTTTCGTTCAACATTGGCACGATCCTATTCCGGCAGTCGCTCGCTTCTTAAGAAAAACATAGATTGCAGATCAACACAAGGTGTGCTGTGACCGGCAATCTTTCCTGGCGAGAGTTATATGTTAGTTGAGTCCTCTATGTTTATGTCATTATGTAATGCCGGCGCTTGTCAAGCCGGCACATGAGCACTTGTTCACTCGATGCGATCTGCAAATTATGTGTAACATAGGTACACATTTGGAATGATAACATGGATTGCCATAATATGAACATGTCGATGGAATTCTCAAATTATTTTAAGTGGGGTGTTGGAGGGTTTGTTATTAGCTTTAACTATGATTTTAAAAGTGGTCAGACAAGAGCAATTATATTAACTAAGTACATTCTACTTCATGTGACCTTTTTTATCAATGGTTCAAGAGATCAGTGTTATAATGCATACCGCAATTTCAAAAGGAGTGCGTCAATTAAGGGCAGGTAGACGTATACACTAAAATTTGCACAGTAAACTAGTCTTAATAAGTATGCTCACCCCAAAAACAAATCTACCGTTAAAACTAATTTACATTGCTACCGAACGTAAATTACTTTCGAATCTGTATAAGCATTTCAATTAAACGCTTTCCAGTAATTGGTAAATAACACGGTTAATTAATACTGTTTTCGGCGAGTTTGGTTTCTCGTTCTGATACTTAGCTACTAAACGCTCCTGTACACGTAACGATTTGTCGTATTGCGTGCAGAACTGCAGGTCATGAGAAAATCATTACGGCTTGCAGAACTGCCATTTTCTCTACACATGATTCGATAACTGCGTACTGCGAAGCATACGATTTGGCTACACACGTTACAATTTATCGTACTGCAGGCAGTACGACATCGGTCGAAACGGATGCAGTAACGATAAATTGTAACGTCGTGTGTGAGAGTACTACCTACTATTCTTAAATGTGAACACCTGAACGATATCTACATTTGATAATTGGTTAGTGTTAAACAAAAATAGAAACAAACCGAAATAGACTTTGAATATGACCATTTATTTTCCATTTCCTTATAAATACACACAGTATAGTGCCTGGAAAACGGTTAGGTAGGTACTTATTACGTACGCGAACTCACCCACAAATAGGGAATGCCTTCAGTTTTGTAAATATTAAGTCTCACTTTGTCTTATTGACTCAAACAATGCAGTACACTTACCGTAGCTGACTTCCCGACTAACGCGTGGCACGTAACGTTAGGACAAGATTCCAGTCTGCAACAAAAAAAAATGTTTTACTAACGATCTAATCCTAAAATTTATCTCCAACCTCCTAAATACGACCATATTTTGTGACGCATTCATGTATGTAAAATTTTCGATGTATGTCTTGGAATCACCGTGACAACTATCTAGGAGAATCAGAGCTGGGGTCACTCATTTAGCGATAACATGAATATAAAATGTCATGTAATCTTCAGTAGTGTCAGGTACGAATGAACGCGTTAAAATTATTTGTAAGATTTCATTTGAAAACTTAGTATCAAGAAATTTACTGTACCGTCTGAAAACATAATATTATAATAAAAACAAAATATAGAAGTATGTACAAATACCGGTTTTAGAATTGTTTGTAAATGCGTAATTTTGTTGCTTATGTAAATTGTTTACTTAGATTTGTGTATTCAATTGTAAGTTTGATTGGTGCTTTATTTGTTAATACCGGAAGAAGATCATTGTATGGCGGAGATTGTGTTTTGTTAAATACTAGAGACAAAAAAAAAGCAGCTGGCGCACACTTTTTATTCGAGTAGTTTGATTAATTCAAAACGTAGTTTGTTGTTAGTAGTTATAATAATTCTGTATAGAAAAACGTTATAATGTGTTTTATGTGTGTCGAAATAAATGTTTGTTATTGTCAATCAATTAATTGTGTATATATTCGAGTCCATTGTGCGGCCCGCGTGGAGTCTTTATGTCAGATTCTTCTTTTTGCATCCAATGAGATGTATTTCACCTATTTCGGAAGTTGATCGAGGCCACTGAGTCTCCCAAACTATTAACTTCATTCAATATTGGGATTTTCCTTTGCAGCAGAGACCTGATGTGTATGAGGAGATATTATAAAATTGTTGTTTTGTATTTTGACTTAGTGGGACAGGCGTTTTGTGGGTGGTGTATTTAACCGCATACCATTGCACACAGTAATACATTAAAATGTTGGCTGTCCCCATGATATTATTTTAAAATTTGTGTTTATGGGAAGTATGCCTTGCCGATTCTATTTAACGTAATTTAGGTGCTACAAGGAACTCTTTCAGTGTTACAACATTTTGAATATACCATTGAAAACTTTTTCAGTACCATTATTAGAGGAAAAAGTTCCGCCTACAAAAATAAAGTTTTGAATTAGTTAGTTTCAACTACTAAAGAAAGTAACCTAAAAAAATGCGACTACCAAACAGAATAGAAACAGTGAAATGAAAACTTTATCAGTGGTCAGTAGTGCTAATCTTTGGAAGAACCTAAGGTACCTATGTGAAGGACTTTAAAGAAAAAAATGTGTAGAAATGCGTTTACGGGCATTTTGTATAATAATTAAACAAATAATTATTGACGTTTTGACTTTATTCACTATCGTCATTCAAGGATTGGTACAAGCATCAGCCTTACGAATAAAAATGTATAGGTACCTGCCTGATCTTGAGGTGCGTGAGTATGCTATAATCTTTGAATACAATATTTTAAAGCTAAAAGTATCCGTTTTGTTTACAAACCTACAACACAGTATTGAAAGGAAAGTGTTACGTGAGCCAGTAATTTTATAAAAAAGATTAATAGCGAGATTATGTCAAAAAATTAAAAAGAAACTTACAACATGAACTTAAATTGCACTGGTTTCCAGTCACGAATCGAAATGAAAGACAAATAAATAATGTGCGCTGCACGCACTCAAGTGGCTAAAGGGCCTTATGAATAAAAACTTACTTCTTGCTGAAGGAAATTGTTAGAAAATTGAAATTGCTTAATTCTCACAAGAACAAATAGAGGTTTAAGTTTTATTAGGTCACATGCTTGAATAATTTTCGTTTTCTTGTATTATACTGGGACTACAATTATTGTTGACTGGACTTTTTTACATTTTTATGATGGAACTCATTACACGGTTGAAGACACTTAAAAGATACAGATTAAGTGAAGCTAATGTTAAATACATCATTTTCATACCATTAGCAGCAACAAAACGGCAGATAAAAAGTAATGTCAGTAATCTTAAAAGATTCACATGGTGGGTTTCCCTTATTAGTTCATTTGCTTGACATGTTCAGGACTCGGGAGATAATTAGGTTATTACCAACTAAATAAGTAGGTGCCCGTTACCAATATTTCAGATCAGTCTCGTTTTCCAGCAACTAATAGCTGAAGTAATAAAGGGTTTTTCATTAAGAACGCTCGAACTTTGAAATGAAATAAAACAACCTGTTTAAGTTATATTACCACAATTTTTATAATATTTTAAAGGATATTCGATGACATTATGTATGGAAAATAATTTCAGCCAAATGGCCCCCGCGACTCCGCTGTGCATGTAATATTCTGGTGGACCAATTTTGGACATCTTCGCTTAAACTGGGCTCAATTTCACAAACAACTCGAGTTATGCTGGCATTTAGGGCCGTAATTGACTGTGGTTTGTCTGCGTAGACTAGGGAACTGAACTTTATATGGATGAATACTCAGTCTAGGTGCAAAATCTGCCAATTTGACGTCCCAGAAAGACCCAATTCTTGCGCACGACGCAGAATGCACTGTCGGGGGCTTTCTCGCACACTGTCCCGAACGGCAATAATATTCTCCAACAATCGTGTGTTTCTTTGACGCACAGGAACTGCTTCATCAATCACTGACCCCGTTGTCTCAAGTTTTTTATTAAACAACGCATTGTGGATTCGGCAGGACGGCCATGAAAGCCATAAATTGGACGCAACGCAAAGAACGTTAGGCGAACGCAGCACTGATTTTGATAATCAATTTTAACAATTTCTACGCGTTTTTGAAGGGTGTAGCGTTCCATCAAAGAGTAACTATTATGGATACTCTTTGGTTCCATGGTGAAATGACAGGACTAAATAAGTACTCATGCCAAATTTGACAGCTATCGCTTTACCAAGATGGCCGCTATTCGCTGTCAAAGTTCGAGCGTCCCTATTGAAAAACCCTTTATTTGTTACTCACTTGTAAACGTTGATTAACAAGACAAAACGCAAACGGGTAAACGTCATGTTTAAACGCTACTGACTTGTAAAACTGACAGCAGACTTGTAAAACTGACAGCAGACCTGTAAAAATTTTACAAGTTAGTAATCTAGTAATTTCATTGGCCAGAATTAATGCGAAGTCTCTGTTACATGGATCACATGATATTTTAGACATTTCTTCAAGATCAATTTAAGAACTAATTATTTACGTTTACAAATGAGTAACAAATAAAATATTGTACATTATACGCCAGGTAATAGTTTTTACTGGCTCTAGGAGATGACAGGCTCGCCTAACGGCTCGCCAGTCAACTTCTCCTATCGCCAGTAAAAACTCACTTACCTGGCTAATAATGTAAAATACTATTACATGGTCCATTATGAATGTAAGGCGCTCTTTGTGGGAAAAATTGTTTTTTTCTGAAACTACTTTCGTCTCGAAAAAGGGTGAAGAATATGTGATTTTCCTCGCTAGTGAGGAAAGTAAAAAACAATTGCTGCGTTAGTCTTAATAATGACATTTATCTACTTTGCGTTACTAATCGACTCATTATTATATCAAAAACAGTTTAATTATGAAGGCTATTATTAACGTGTTTTTGGTGATTTTTATTTGTCGTATATTGGTAACATCCGTCGCGGCACAGAATATGTCAATGTCAAACGTCAGTGATTGAGGTTAAATTGTTTGTTTTGATAATGAAATATTGAACTTTTGTGTAAGTTTAATAGTAAAGAAGACTTTCCTATAGTTATATAAATCAGTGTAGGTAAGTGATCCACAATAATTGTAAAGAAATACCTAATGTTTGGCAATTTTAGTGTGTTTATTACTTAGAAATAAAGAATGCAGGTACTTGTGGGAAAGTGGATTCTTCGGTTACATGGCACCAGTAAGTAAATGCAATTATCTGCAATTCATTTATGCCATACTTGCTTTTAGATTCCCAAGTAAAAAAGTAACAAGAATGGTGGCTGCAAGCATGTGAACTATCGGAATTCGAGGATGTAAAAAGAAGGCTGTGTTCTCGTCATTTTAACCGTTATGAGTGCATCGATTTGGATGCACCAAGCACGATGGGGGTCACTTAACACCTAAAAGATTTCCAACTCTACAATGTTACTTTCATTTTAAAATCAGTAAATGTCTTTAATTTAATTGTGTTTCTTTGAACATTAGTAATGTACCACTTTGTATTATAGCTGATGCGAACTTATCCGATTTCATGTTATATTCAAGGTATAATCCCTATAGTCAATTGCAATTTAAGTTTCTAAATCGTTACAAGGATGCCCATCGAGGTTGAAGGGTGTAACCGTAAACAAACTCGGCTGAGGAAGCTTGAAAGTTCTCCGTGAAAATGCTACAGATTCCAAGCAGAACGATAGGGAGTACCTCGAGCCAGAACGCATTGGGCTGCACACGAACATTGCTTCGAGTTAGCAATTAATTTGTTCCACTAGGCCTTTGGCTGCTGAGTGGTAACTGCAGGTGTGGAATCATTGCCGAAAACAATGTTGAGGGTACAAAAAACGTCCCTGATAGATGATGGGAATTTAACCGTGATAGCCAAAAGGTGACAAAAGCTTCAGCCACTTCCTCTGTGGTTATGATTTTGAGAGGATAGTCCTTGGCCATCAAATATACTTACCCAGAGCCATCAGATCAGACAGTAGGATAGTCCGGTAGGTGGAATAGGGTCAATGTGAACCTGCATGAAACGAATAGAAGTCTGGGTGAAGTGTACGAATGGTGCGTGGTTGTGTTTACATACGGTAATGTGTTCCATTTCAAAAAATTTACATCCAAATTAAATGACAGATTATTTGAATTTGTTTCACTGCTACTAGATCAGTGTTACTTTGAACATACAGGGTTATCAACTGTCACAAAAGTCCCTAGTTTAATACGGTAAATTCAGCAGCCGAAATTCCAAGAATTCAGTAAAGCAAAGTAGATAAAATAGTATATTACACTTGTTTAATAAGACGTATTATCACACTCGTTCCATTGAAGCACTCGTGTGATAATACAGCGTCTTATTAAACTCGTATAATAATATACTATTAAAACTGAAACATATCCGTATCTAGACTGCATTATGTCAAACTTCATTATTCCATACAATAATTTGTCAATTTTGATTGTAGTACACGTATTAAGAAGTTTTCGACAAATTGCTACTTTTTTATGTTTTTAACAAACATAAAACTCTACTCTACTTTATTGCAGTGATTGTAGAAAGATAAACACAGAAATGGGATAAGGAAGCATTGGGAATAAATAAACCGTAAAAAGCTTAGAATGATCTTTTATGACATGAAAAGACCAACGCTCAAACCAAATTTCTATGAAAATCGCCATTATCAGTTGATAAAAAAACTATCCGTTCACAGTCGCATAAAATCATCAAAGATGTACGTATGAGAATGCGCCATGTGCTCTCGTTTCATAAAGTTATTTTTTTTCAATCCCTTTTTACTGTCGCCGTAAACCCTACGAGTGAATGGATAAATGTTTCATAACTTATCTTGAAAGCTAAATGACATTTTTATTACGTTTTCGCAATCTAATTTTTTATGATACGCATGTAAACTCAAATTATTATCCATTCCCATATTTGATCGCCACTCAACTGTATTAGATAAGTTTCAAGGCTGGTATCGTTAAAAAGGCATAATGTGGCAGTACCAGATGCAGTGCATACTGCGGGTAAAAATTGTGCAGTTATTCTCCTTGACACTGTATCAAAAAGTTTAATAAACATAAGAACCCCCGAAACTCTATTATTTGGTAGACCTCATCTTTTTCCTCGCCCGATACGAGTTATTTGTATTTACAAAGAATCTGCATAACAAATTTAAGCTCAATTGGTTCAGTAGTTTCCCTTACAACCGTCGCACGACACTTGGGATTCGACGAGAAAATGCAAATTTATCTAAAGTATCTTTGTAGAGTTTGGTATAAAAGAAAATGCGATGTAAGATTTTATTTCCCATTTCATTAGTGAAAACGCGCGAAGAGGACGAGTTCGATATTGATTTGACCCCTCATCTATTATTCATTCTCTGTAAACGCATACACGAATTATTCAAGTAGGAGCCTATAGTGCCTAATGCAAAGCAATTTTAAGTCTATACCCTAATACGCGTACCGAAATAATAAATACAACGATAACATCCGTGGATATTAAATTCAAGTAACTCCAGACAAACACGCTTACTTGGTCTTCTGAGTGGATGCATGAGAGTGCCCAGCACATTTCTTTATTCGGGATTATCGCACACCACAGCACATCGATTTACGGCTGTTAACGTCTGACAGCGGACTACAATATGCTTATTCTACTAGGATAGTGATCGCAGGTTTTAGTTGTCCGGGTTGATTCAATCGAATAAGAACAAACTGTAGAATAACTATTGAAAACAATATTACAAGGATGTGCTTGTAATATATTAAAAACGAGCAGTTCTGTTAAATATTAACACTTCAAGGAGCTCCAGATGGTAAACTACTTTTCACATAAAATATTAATTTACATTTTTTTTAACAACAGTAAAACTTTCCGGAGCAATGGCATAACTTAGAGTAACAATAACCAAGTGAACGAAATGATATATTTTTATAGTCTTTATTCCATCCGTGGTTGAAATGAACACGTATAATTATATTTTAATTCCATTCAATCGACACAAAAATCGCTAAATTCGCAAAACATGATGTGTCTCTGATTTTCTAGTATGTTATTTGGACCGATTAGGGTAGTGTATACTCAAGTTTGCAACTCTCTAAAAAATTATGGAAAAAGCGTAGTACATGAAAAACAGCAAAATTTTCGGACTTTTGGCTCTATATTTTTTAAACTATGCATTTTTCGACGAAAGTCACTATATACGTTTTTGAAGAGCATTGAATGTGTGATAATTTGCGCCGGAGCTCTGTAAGTCAATTAGTTACCGAATTACGGCACTTTGAAAATAGGCATTTTTTTCCAAAAATATTTCAGTTTTAGACAGAAAATGCGGCTAAACTATTGATTCTACGAGTAGCATATAGAATAGAAGTTGCAGATAATTTAATTAGCTGAAGGCATCGTAGTTCTCTCAAAATCTCAAAAAAACCTATATGAAGTAAAATCGTATTTTTCCAGAAATGTTTTAAAAACTTTTTATCTTCCTTTTGGTGTGGAAATAAAAAAGAAATGTATCAAATCACTTGTTGCATGGAGTCAGTTTTAAATATCCAACAATTTCATAGGTTTAAATTAACCTGTGACTCTGCTGGTATCCCAGGATGGAATGGGTACATGGAAGAAGTGACTAATGGCCAGGTTTTCAGTTGTTCAAAAATTCTATTTTGACCATTCATTCACGCGCCTCCCATTGACACACCGTTCTAATCTTCCTCCTTGGTGCTCCTGCAAAAACCAAGTTTCTCAGTAACCATAAGAGTTAGAATGACTGGTGGCATCTGTTTGAATAGGTTTTCGAGAAAGCCCTTTCAGATTTTGCAAAAAAATTTTCAAAATTCCTACCACAAAATGGCGCACCTCTACATGAGGGTGCGAACGAAAGTCTGATTTTGACAAAATTTGGTATCTGAGGGTTTTTGAAAATAAAAATCACGAATATGAACTTTGCAAACAAAAGTTATACTCATTTGAAGATTGAACCTTCGCGTTACAAAGTGTCCCCCGCCTACTAGTGATTGATCGAATTTCGCATGTAGTTAATTGAAAATGCCGCAAATAAAAATAAACGATCTAAGTCGATATTATGATGAAATGATCACAAAACATTCGATATGTCGATCATGGTATTCAAGTCTGCAACCTCGATTCCAAAAATTCGGGGGCTACGGGTGGTGGGAAAATGCTATTCAAGTAGACTTCCTTTACACACTGCGTTCAATTAAGATAAATAATTTCAAGGCAGAGTTAAATTTAAACCCATCATATTTCTCGAAGGCACATTTTTGCCTAATTAAATAAAATATGCAGTGTAGAAACGAGATTTTCCTTTTTTTGTAAAAGATCAATAGGATTATCTGTGAAATTTATTACTATATTGACTAAATTCGGTGATAATTAAAAAGTTTCAGACAGTAAAGATTTCCTGGTGAGTAAGAACGATAACAACCCCCAACTTTTTGATATTCGAAGTTTTCCCCGGAGTGTACAAAACTCAGCGAGATTTGAAAACGATAGCCGTTTTGTCACCTTCGATCCAAAAATCTTATAAGCATAAGCAGTTTGATCCATTGTACCGTAAGTAAAGCTGTTCATCCGGAATCAGTCGGCAAATGTAAATTTCACGACAGTCCAACTGGAAACGGTATTGTGGCCGTTTTTATCGGTATAATCGTTCTTGTTCTTTAGTTGGGTCTGCCTGGGAACACAAATTAAGAGAAATAATTAGTTTCATTACATCTGATTATATTTCATGCTAGCCGTGAATTATTTTGAAAAAAATGTGATAGCTTAGAGGTGACATTTGCAGCAGTTTCACTATGTGAAATAAGAAAGCCTATTTCAGTGTTATTCCAAGTTTTTTTTGTCCAATGAACGTTTGTTCTTGTCTTTTCCTACACCGAAAAATATAAATGTTATTTAATTACCTTTCCGATTGTGTCTCACGTACCAACATATAAAAAGAACATCAATAGTGTACACAACATACGAGTTCTATTCGTGGAAAGTGGTGCGAAACATCCGTCATTTCGACATAAAAGTTAGATCGCTCTGCTTGTAATTTTTCCCCAGAGTTGCCAACTGTAATTATAGAGTAAGTCAAAGGTGCAGTACCGGACCAAAGGGCCTGAGACTATTACAAACATGTTTGTAACCTTTCACATTATGTACCAATTTTGCTAGAATTTAACTGGAAACTGTGTGGGAACATGTCCACAGCAAGATCCTCGATGTTAGTGATTTTTTAAAATCTTTCCGTGTCACTGCCTCACTCTGTAAATTTGATCCTACTTTTTGTAACATAGTGTTAGTGAGGTTAGTATTACATACGCGGAAATTATAATAATACACGACTGTGGATAAATTTATTGTCGTCATTGTATTAAGATTTTGTATTAATTGCATATACATTATACAAGTTTTCAAATAAATGTCCCATTGATATTTTACTAATTACATAGAGACAATTGATTCACGAAAATTGAGAAATTAATTTGAAACATGCAATTCGATGTAATGTGATTAAAAAAATTATTTAAATGGTTTTCAGACATTCGTTGGTAGGTGGCACCTTCTCTCAAGTTGTCTGTTATCTTTGGCGTAATTGACTCGAAATTGGACAATTAGTAAGCTTCTTTATCGCCGCATAAAACTCAACGGTGTAATTAATTCCAATCGTTCAATTTAGTTATTAGTATAATCATTCATTCATTTGTACTCGTTTCTCTGACAATAAATGAGACTCTCACTGAAGACGACTTCGAAAGCCCACAATAACTAGAAAAAATATAATTGCTCTATTTTGTCACAAACACTTTCTAAATCGTTGAATTGAGACGGTAGCTTCTTACTTGTTGGTTTCGATGATAACTATCTAGATACAGCGCAATGGTATAAACGCGTGTTGGCTATAAGAACTCGCCCACTAGGATTCCAAAAGCGGGCCCTCGCATAGAGGTGGTCAGAACTAACCGCCTCTTTAAATATTGGCGCGTATTGAAAATGTACAGAATTCTTTATAGAATTTCGGTTTAAAATATTTGCGCGGTTGTCATATTTAATCGAGGGGTAAACCGCAACCCAAATTTTGTACACTGATTTCCTATAAATATTAGATTTCCTCTGAGTTCCTTCGAGTTCTTCAGAGTTCATTTGATTTCTTCGGAGTTTCCCTGATTTCCTCCGAGTTCCTCCAACTTCCACGAAATACCTCTGATTTCCTTGGAGTTCCTCGATTTTCTTTTGGAGTTCCTGTGAGTTCCTCTGATTTTTTAAAGTTTTTTAATTATTTCATTGTTATTCCGTTGATTTAACAATTTCCTGGTAAGTAAAACCCGAGGTAAAACCATAAAAAAAATATAAAAGTGTCAAGTGTCAAGTTAAAAAGTAATCGTAAACGATTTACATAAAGCGCATTTCCACTTGCATTCATTTCTCATTTGTAAGATGCAACTTCTGTTAAAATCGTAAAAATCCGCCCACAAATATGAAAGATAGCGTTGCACATGGGCAATCCATTGTTGACGTGCTACTTCAATTTCAGTTTATGAGAAGAATTTCATTTCAATGCTTTTCTAAATAAGAAAGCTGGAACTGCGCATGCGCAAACCTAAATTTTAAAACTAATGTTAGATTTTCTTTTGTTCCAAGCGCCTAAGTATCAAATTTCACTTAAATAGTTCCATAGATAAAAAAGTTGGCACGGCGCATGCGCAAAATAAAATTTTGAAACTGGCGCTAGATTTTCCTTTATTCAAAGTGCCTATGTATCACATTTCATTTAAATTCTTCCATAAATAAAAAAGTTGGCACTGCGCATGCGCAAAACCAAATTTTGAAATTGGCGTTTGATTTTCCTTTATTCTAAGTGCCTATGTATCAAATTTCGTTTAAATTCTTCCATAAATAAAAAAGTTGGCACTGCGCATGCGCAAAACCAAATTTTGAAATTGCCGTTTGATTTTCCTTTATCCCAAGTGCCTATGTATCAAATTTCGTTTAAATTCTTCCATAAATAAAAAAGTTGGCACTGCGCATGCGCAAAACCAAATTTTGAAAATGGCGTTTGATTTTCCTTTATTCCAAGTGCCTATGTATCAAATTTCATTCAAATACTTTTATAAGTAAAAAAGTTTGCAATTCGGTTTATGGTCGAGATGCGAAAAGGGCACTGTGAATTTTGAATCGATTCGATTCAACTTTTGGCATTGCGTATTATATGGCTAAATCTATGCCCATATTGAATTTCATGCAATTTAGTTCATAACTCACGGAGATGTAAAAGCGATCGAACATTTCTAAACAAAGTTATCGTTCACACGGACAGATAGATGGACAGACAGACAAAGGAACAGACGGAGAGACCAACCGGGAGGCGACAGATAGCAATGCAAAATTATAAACGATCTCTAGGATCGTTAATAAACGGCAAAAGTGTAAAATTATGGAACATGTAAAAAACGGTTTTTTGTGTTTTTTACAATAACTTTTTTTGTAAGCGGTACAGAAAAAATTCCTTCCTTGGTACAAGACTCGACACCATAACGAACCAAATAGCGAAAAAAATAGAACAATGGCTCTTAAGATAAAGAACTAGTAGCGTCGCAAAGTTAGCGGACGGACGGACGGACGGGCGGATAAAGACACGATCTTAGACGAAACACTATTTTATATTTTAATAGACCTATTTGCAATGAGAAAAACTCATTATTAAATAAGAAAAATACCATAAACAAATAACAAAATTAGTTAAGACCAAATTAAATAATAAAATGCAGCACGAGTTCCTTTGATTTCTTTAGAGTTCCCTTGATTTCCTCGGAGTTCCTGTGATTTCCTTGGAATTCCTCCTGAATACACATGGAATTCCTTGGAATTCTTAGCTTTCCTAGGAGTTCCCATAGATTTCCTCAAACGTGTACACTGATTTCCCATCGCGGTTTACCCCTCGTATTTAATTTTCTTTCTTATTGGCTGTATATGTGGACATGATATAATTAGAAAACATTACTTAAGTATAAAAGAAATCAGCAACGATTCAGTACCTATTGTTAATTACATTGGTATTTTCCTGTTTAGTTCGCGTCTATTGAATAGACAGTAATTACTGTTTAATTGAATAACCAATAACTGGTACAATTGTAAAAATGTAAATTAAATTTGTTATTATCCATCCTTTTTAGATCGTCTACTACAATCAAATTAAAGTAGACAACATATTTCATAAAATTGGATTTTATGATGAGCATAGCGATTATTTTACAGGAAATTTTGTTTGCTTTAATTTTGTATAGATGCCTACATACGCTGAATTGTTTAATCATTAACAATCAATCATTACAATGCAATAATCCTTATGTTCTCAGGAAAAAAAACATCAGTCTAATCCAATAATAATCAGTCAAAATATATAGTGCAGTTAAATAATAAATTAATAAATCTGCACCCGTCGAATAAATTTAATGAAATATTTACACGTTATTCTCATTTAAACAATTCAATTAAAAAAATACTCTCGACCCGCATTTTAAGCTGCAGCACTAGCGCGCATCGGTCTCCTAGCAACTAAGCTTCGTACACATGTTTTTCAGTCACCGTTGGCTAGCGGAGAAAACACAAGTATATGTATTTAAATTTGCCGCTCAACTTGAGCCACCGCGCATTCTGCTAGTGATTCATCCATTTAAACGATTGATAATGCAGTGTATGTTCTTATCTTTGAAAACAACATNCGTTTAAATTCTTCCATAAATAAAAAAGTTGGCACTGCGCATGCGCAAAACCAAATTTTGAATTTGGCGTTTGATTTTCCTTTATCCCAAGTGCCTATGTATCAAATTTCGTTTAAATTCTTCCATAAATAAAAAAGTTGGCACTGCGTATGCGCAAAACCAAATTTTGAAATTGGCGTTTGATTTTCCTTTATCCCAAGTGCCTATGTATCAAATTTCGTTTAAATTCTTCCATAAATAAAAAAGTTGGCACTGCGCATGCGCAAAACCAAATTTTGAAATTGGCGTTTGATTTTCCTTTATTCCAAGTGCCTATGTATCAAATTTCATTCAAATACTTTTATAAGTAAAAAAGTTTGCAATTCGGTTATAAATGGTCGAGATGCGAAAAGGGCACTGTGAATTTTGAATCGATTCGATTCAACTTTTGGCATTGCGTATTATATGGCTAAATCTATGCCCATATTGAATTTCATGCAATTCAGTTCATAACTAACGGAGATGTAAAAGCGATCGAACATTTCTAAACAAAGTTATCGTTCACACGGACAGATAGATGGACAGACAGACAAAGGAACAGACGGAGAGACCAACCGGCAGGCGACAGATAGCAATGCAAAATTATAAACGATCTCTAGGATCGTTAATAAACGGCAAAAGTGTAAAATTATGGAACATGTAAAAAACGGTTTTTTGTTTTTTTTACAATAACTTTTTTTGTAAGCGGTACAGAAAAAATTCCTTCCTTGGTACAAGACTCGACACCATAACGAACCAAATAGCGAAAAAAATAGAACAATGGCTCTTAAGATAAAGAACTAGTAGCGTCGCAAAGTTAGCGGACGGACGGACGGACGGGCGGATAAAGACACGATCTTAGACGAAACACTATTTTATATTTTAATAGACCTATTTGCAATGAGAAAAACTCATTATTAAATAAGAAAAATACCATAAACAAATAACAAAATTAGTTAAGACCAAATTAAATAATAAAATGCAGCACGAGTTCCTTTGATTTCTTTAGAGTTCCCTTGATTTCCTCGAAGTTCCTGTGATTTCCTTGGAATTCCTCCTGAATACACATGGAATTCCTTGGAATTCTTAGCTTTCCTAGGAGTTCCCATAGATTTTCTCAAACGTGTACACTGATTTCCCATCGCGGTTTACCCCTCGTATTTAATTTTCTTTCTTATTGGCTGTATATGTGGACATGATATAATTAGAAAACATTACTTAAGTATAAAAGAAATCAGCAACGATTCAGTACCTATTGTTATTTACATTGGTATTTTCCTGTTTAGTTGGCGTCTATTGAATAGACAGTAATTACTATTTAATTTAATAACCAATAACAGGTACTGTGACGGTCACATTTTGACTTACGCTGTATATGTAAGGTTTAGGGGAATGTATGCGATTCGGGAGTCGGCGCAGTCATTTTTGGGTTAGGCAAGCGCACGGTATGGGAACAGAGAGGGTCGTTAAGATGGCGATGGTTGAATAGTTGGTGTGTTTTTCGGAAAGTTGCTCTTGATGGAAGTTCGGTAATTGTTGAGACGTTCGATTGGTTTTGGTTAATTGGAGTTGGAGGATCGTCTTAAGCCGCTTGCGGGATTCGAGCCGAACTTATTCCATTTATATACGTGGGGTTAGACCACGCGGTGATTGAATCGGAGATTATAGCAACAAGTTGGGACCATCCGCCGTTATTTTGTCAATCCGTCCTTTAATAGGGTAAGCACCTTTCTGATCCTTTGGGTGTGTTGGTCATTTTCCTATTTGTGATCATATTTTAGACAGTACCGACCTGGGGAGTAGTCTTTACGTTATCGTCGTGGTCGCATGTAGATTTGGCCATCGGTATATGTGTAGCTGTTTACAACGAGGGGGGAAGCCGTCTCTAAACTGGAGCAAGTGTAGCGAAGGATTTGAATTATCGGAGGAAGCTGTCCGAGCGAATCGCAGTCTAAGATCGTAACCATCATCGAGACAGGGTTCGACCCATTGTAACTACCCTTACTGGAGCGCAGAGGAAGTTGTTGGAGGGAGTCGGCAGAGCTAAGTGTCATATTTGTAATTGTATTTGTCGGAACGTTGTCGGTGACTTCTGTCGTACGGTGTTTTTTTTGTTTTTTTGGACGGCGAAGTTAGACCTTCACAGGAAATAATCGTTGGCAAGAATCCTGCGGATTCTCATTTGGTTCTGTGAATCGGGGTTGTGATCCCCATTGCTTATCGATTTAGTAGAAGTCATTTCGTCTCCAAGAATTGAGCTTTTGTGAATTATTAATCAACACTGAATTTATTGAGTCTAGTCATTTGGTCAAATTGTAATTGTATTTTGGCTTTTGTAAAATCAATTGGCCGTTAATAAGACCAAGAGTCACCGAGAAATCAAGTAACGTGTTATACATTTGTGTCTGCTAAGTTAACGTCAAATATTTTTCTTGTTGGGGTGGGGAAGATTTACCAGTATTCTGGAATTTTGACATTTATTAATTGGGTATATTAATTATGGTTGTTGAATAATTTTGTTGCATGATTGATTATGAGGGCTGTGTAACTGCTGTGATTTCGTGTTGGTTCACTGTATAATTAGTTGCAGCAAATTAGGCTGGAAAAGGTACCGTCGGTTATTGCGCAATACCCCACGAGGTTTGGATATTTAAATTGTGAATATAAGTTGTGTCCGGGTTTTATTTATTTCGTATTTAGCACTAGATTTTGGGTGCTGTTATTATAGTAGGGTGCCTACTATTCGGGCGTTGAAATCATAGGGTTATTGCCGTGCCTTTTGGCATGTGATTATTCTGGCTGGGGTTCATATTAACAGGGGGGGGGGGTCATTTGCTTGATTCAGGCGACCCTGGGTATTTGTATGTGTGGTCAATTTGCGTTTTTATAAATATAAGCTGTGATATTTTGGTTGTGTGTGCTAGAGTTACATCTACCATATTAATTCATTCCTTGGGACCCATGTCAATGGAATTGTTATGCATATCTAGACATAAATAATTATTGTCAGGCTAAATAAATTGGAACTAGTCAATTGTATGGTGACTTTTTAATTGGCAGTATCTATCTGGGTATAGGGTTATTGGAAGCCTGAGTTGTCGTCGGAATTTTAGTACCATCTACGGGCCAGCTCCCGTCAGATCCAGCAGCGGTGTGTATTTATTAGAGCTGGTGGCGCCCACATCTTCCGGTATTTCTTGTATATTTAGGTTCAAGCCAACGAGGGACCCGACCCGTCTCCACTGGGCTAGAGAGGGTGCGCTGCGGACAACTTCAATAAGCCAAGACGGCAATCAGGGGAAAAGAGGTAGGGTGCTAGCGCTAGTGTATTTGATTCTGCTTCGGCTTGTAGCCAGAGTTGGCGTTGCAGTACAATTGTAAAAATGTAAATTAAATTTGTTGTTATCCATCCTTTTTAGATCGTCTACTACAATCAAATTAAAGTAGACAGCATATTTCATAAAATTGGAGTTTATGATGGGCAGGGCATAGCGATTATTTTACAGGAAATTTTGTTTGCTTTAATTTCGTATAGATGCCTACATACGCTGAATTGTTTAATCATTACCAATCAATCATTACAATGCAATAATCCTTATGTCCTCAGAAAAAAAAAACATCAGTCTAATCCAATAATCAGTCAAAATATATAGTGCAGTTAAATAATAAATTAATAAATCTGCACCCGTCAAAAAAATTTAATTAAATATTTACACGTTATTCTCATTTAAACAATTCAAAAAAAAAACACTCTCGACCCGCATTTTAAGCTGCAGCACTAGCGCGCATCGGTCTCCTATCCTAGCAACCAAGCGTCGGACACATGTTTTTCAGTCACCATTGGCTAGTAGCGGAAAAAACACATAAGTAAATTTGCCGCATTCTGCTAGTGATTTATGCATCTAAACGATTGATAATGCGGTGTATGTTCGGACCTTAATAAATTGTGCCATAAGCGTAGAATGGAATAACATATCTCAACATCAAACATCATACATTTCAAGGAATAATAGATACCTAAATAAGTACAAGCAAACACTAAACATTTGGCAACGCTGGGATTTCTGCAATGATATTTATAAACTTCTAAACAAGTAGTTGCCTTGAAATAGCCCCTAAGGCGTAGCGTACGCCAATAAAATTGAGAAAAAGCAGTAAAATTTGTTAGGCAACACACAAGACATATGCAACACTATTCTCTATGCCGTTGAATGTCTTATTATGGTTACTCTTTGTTAAAAGTTACAAAACGTGGCCTTAGGCTAGTCAGATGGAATTTCTTAGACCCTACATACAAGTTCCAATATAGGCCAACCCCAGCGTTCGGGTGCATCACAAACGGAAAATCCAGAGCCTACGCGGATATTAACGGTGACCCTTACGCAATATGCAGCTGAGATTACAAACGCTAATGTTCCCAACGATATCGCGGATCGTGAAACTTTAGCAAGTGTCGCATCAAAACAGGTTCCACAAAGTAGGAAACACCCAGGTGTAGGGGAAGTACAGTAAGTAAGATTGTTGAGCTATCATTGTACAAAGAACTGACACCACAGGCGAAAACCGACCGTTTTGCATACCAACCAAGCTGTGGACACACTACAAGTAGGTCCACTTCTTCAACATCATTACCGTTCTTTGCTGTTCCTCTTCCACTAAGAGGGCTAGCAGAAGAGCTTCTTCCTCGATGTTGTCCATTGTACTACACCACACTTTCAATATTCAACTGATTCTCTGCCTATAAAGAAAAACTTTTGACCGCGCGGATTGAATGTCCTTCAGGCAATACTGCGAGTCTGAACGGCTTTTAAAAGAAAGATGGTTTACTTAATTACTAGGCGCCATTTTGATAGGCATAAATTAGTTCAAAAGAAATCAGGTAGGGATAAATGCGAAAAAATTTTAGAGAGATTCTATCATCGGTCACGTCAATTATCGAGGTGAAATTCGTCTCGGGGTTACGGGTGTGTCAGCTGCACGATTCAAAGTTAACTGAAATTTTTGCAAAAGTTTCGGTTTTGGCGTGTAGAAAAGTTGTGTTTTTGGGCATCCAATTTTATCCTTCATTGAAAACTCAAGGGCGTTTTTCGGAAAATTGCGAATCATTTGAGGGATTAACAAGGAATTATTACGTTTTAATAAGACGAGCTATCATCGTTTTGTTGCACGCGAGAATTACGTGAATTTTGAGTCGATAAACAATAAAGTTCTACGAATAAATGAATTTTAAATTTATATAATTGCCGCCGGAAAAACGTAAACAAAGCGGTTAATATTGAGTGCTTTAAAAAAATCGTCTGATTCAGTTTTGGGGATAAAGGCTAAATCGCACCGAACGTGCGAGAGAACTATAACAAAATGAAAAAAGTTAATTAGTCGCGGTTGCGATTGCACATCCGTCTGAAGTTCCGTCTAAAAAATTAAGATGTCAAATTTTAATCGTGAATAAACGCTATCGATAAATCGACATAAAGCCGTCTGTGCCGAAAAAGTAGAATATCAACTACTACGCATGTAAATAAGTCTTTTACGAAAGGGGAGAAAGTGTTTCAATTATGTATTCGAAAAAGAAAGGCTTGGTTTGGGTATTAAAGATCTTACACGCAAATCGATAACAATATAACCGATAAATCTAAATGTAAGGTTAAACAACAAATGATTTTTATTTTCCAAGGAGCGACAGTCTTTATTTTAAAACTTTCACAATGATAGGTGGAACTGAAATGCACACTTTGAGATCCAAAAAATTTATCAAATGAGATTATTATGCTCTTTGGTTGGAAATGGGGGGCGTTGTACATTGTTGTGTAAACTTTATTTCATCCAAACACAAAAAATAATGACGGGACACTCTGTATATGAGAACATTTCTTATTATTATTATAAGTGTAAATCTAGGGGATTATTTATAAATAAGCACAAAATTGGTTTGGTTTACTTGAATTTGTGCCTCAGTGTGTTATTTTTCTTTTTAGAGTTGCTTGTAAATTGTTTATTTAGATTTGTGTATTTCGGAGTAAGTGGGGACGCATTTTCTCCAAGCTGGACTTATCAAGTCTAATTATTGTGATTGGAGGCGTTTTTGAGAATCCTAAAGGAGATTATATTATTGTGGAAGCAACAAGTAAACGATGGCTGTTGCTGCTGTTAGCCGTTAGCTTTTCGCGACTGTAGAAAAGCGTGTATATTTTTTACACCTCCGGCGTTCAGCCCTATGTGTTCGTCGGTTTCGTAGTAAATTGTGCAGTATGTCTTTATTTAGAAAAATCATTTCGCCTTTCCTAATTTTAGACGCGTCAATTTTAATAAATATTTCATGAAGAGGTTAGTGCGTACGTTCTCTTGCGAACAAATCGAAGATTTTGCCGCGCGCGTTCGCAAAAAGGTGTGCGGATAAATTACAACTAACGGCATCCCTTCCACTTAATTAAAAACCGAAGCAAAACGAATTAATTAATGTATTTATTGGCCCCCCTGTTCTGGGCCCTCAACAGGCTTTCGCACATTTAGAGAGCAACCCGCATAATACTGTTCGTAAATGGTATGTTGCTTGCCTATGTGAAAGGTATGAGGTATTCGAGGGACATTAAATAAGTCAGTAACTGCACATTAGTGACATTCAAAAGCACAACGTTTTTATAATTATAATACGGAATTGCAAGTGTTAATATCCGTATTGAAATAACTCCAAACCAAGAAGCGAACTAAAATACGAAATGGGTCACAAACCGTACATGCAAACAAAATCATTACCGTCTGTATGATCGACTAAGTTCAACTCCCCGTTATGCAGCATGCTTTGCAGTTTGAAGTGGCATAAAGCATTCGCTGAACCAGATTCAGCGCTTTGAAAAACTTTTCTCGTTTCACTATAGAATTCAGTTCGTAAAATAAGCATGCACTAATAGACGTGAGACTAACAAGCCCTAAAAAAGCATGAAACTGCAACATGTTTTCCCAATCACATATGTATATCTTGTTAAAAGCATCCCGAGTCACCCTCCAGCATTCTTTTCATAAAAATAAGAATATTTCATTTTCGTTTCCCTCGAGATCCACGCGAAAGCCAATTCAATATTTCGTTCTTTTTGCGTAGCAGGTTTTTTGTTGTGGTGTATTAGTAGGTACTACTCACCCTTAGCGACCTCGACTTTTACTGAATATTTAACTAATCTTGTTAAATTGCTAATTATTCTGGATTTATAAATATGGCGCTTGCTTCTTTTAATTATTTACGAGTATTTTATCGACATACAATCAGTGGTTTTTATCAATGCATATCTACTGCTTTTGTTTATACCGTGACGTCAAGCTGTGAGTGGTTAACCAAATACTTATTTCATTAAGCCCGGTCCAGACACAACGACTAGTCGCACGACAAAACGATTATGTAAAGTGGTTCGACAAAACGTAATATTAGTGGTGCGTCCATATGTATACGGTTTCGACTTATCATTCCGACATATCTTATCAGTTCTCGAAAAATGATGCCTCGAGCTTCAGTCTTTCGAGTTAGCTTTCAACCTCATTCGACAAAACGTACGCATTTCCGCATTTACTCACTTCAACACAGTGAGCAATGTAACAATAACTTTAGGTACAACACTGAAGTTGCGTCTATTTATTACACATGCAAAAGTTGCGTTTTATCTTAAAGGATTATGTTAACAGCTGAGTGGTTTGCCGCACATTTTATATTTATTGCTTTAATCTTGTTTGCAATTAATCTTTCCTCAAAGTTTCGTTAGCTACCTACCATAGACTAGAGCATATAAGTATTGGAGTATTAATGGACTGATGCACTATGTAGTT